ACCCCAAAACCCCAAAACCCCTTTGCTTAGATTTATATTATTAGATAAATATTAGATAAAATTATAATATATAGTTGAGTCATCGCAAACAAATAGGAATGTCTAAAAAGAAGAATTTTCTGAAGATTGTTATTTTAGGAGACTCAGGAGTTGGAAAGACTACTTTGTTGCAACAATATGTTAATGGAAAGGGAAATACTCAGTCTAAGCCCACAATTGGTGCAGATTTCTCAAAGAAGGAATTAATGATTGACAATACAATAGTGACACTCTAAATATGGGATACCGCAGGTCAGGAGAAATTCCAATCATTAGGCTATGCATTTTATAGAGGAGCTGACTGCTGTGCATTGGTCTATGATATTACCAATTAGAAGAGCTTCGATGAACTTTCAAAGTGGAGAGATGGTTTTATTAAGCATGCTTCTCCTCCAGACCCAGATAGTTTCCCATTCATTTTGATTGGAAACAAACTAGATAGAGAACATGACAGAAAGATTAAGAGTTCTGATGCAAAGGCTTGGTGCTAATAAAATGGAGATATGGCCTACTATGAAACTTCAGCCAAAGAGAATATATCAGTAGATGATGCTTTCATTGAAATGGCTAAAATGGCAATAAAAAGAGACAGTAGCAGCTAAATTTTTAACTTACCAGATTCAATTGGAGGAGCAGGTGGAGCCTTGAAGTTGAATGCCAAGGATGATCAAAGAAGAACTAAAACTTAAATGGAAGGCAAGTCATGTAAATGCTGAATGAAGTCTAAACAAAATTTGTGATGTGACGGCAAAACTCATCATGCTTTGAAGTATGTATCTAAATATTAGAAAATCCTTAATATCTTATCAATTAAACTTAAATTCAATTTCTTGATATAAAAATCCTCTCTCTCTTTTGAGCTTCTACATTATAACTAGTATTAATGCCAATTTAAAATTTGATTAAAATATTAAAATAAGAACCTTTTTGAAATTAATTAAAACAATCGCAATAGTTTTAACATTACGAATGGTATTCGGCTTTATACGTCACATTTTTGCAAATAACAAGAAAGTACTATTTATGATAGCTGTGTATGTCCTTACAATTTTAATATACCGTGATTTGAAACGACAGAAGAGAGAAAAGAAGATTCTTAATAAAAAGCTTCAACTAATTAGAAAAATAAAGGTTATTTTGTAGGAATTAATGGTGGAAGCTAATTTCTCATTAAATGTAGCATTTCTGAAGTATAAAGATAAATAGCTTAAAAATAGTGAATAAAAGAAATAATAATAGATTGAGGAGTTTAAAGGAGAGTTACTTGAATACTGGTTGAATAAAAGAGGGGTTTAGAATTATGATTTTGAGTAAATTGTCCAAGATCAAAATGAGTTGAAAAGCATTTATGAGAGCATCATGAAGTAGTTTGAAAGCTATAAAGATAGAAAGCCAGAATAGATTGACATATACATTAGCAAATTTAATACAGCGAGTATGAAAACTATATACAAGAAATATCTTGGTTACTTGAGATATCTAACTTATCACCATACAAAGGATACTTATGATTACACTAAGAGATTCACTATACATTATGATATATTGACCAATGAGGCACATTTAAAGGAAATATTTGCTCTTTATGTGATGAGCTTTGATCACATGAATCCTAGTTTTCAAAAGGATATAGAAGGAGCGTATTTCAGGGAATTCAAGAAGGGCTATTATTAGCTAATGTTTGAAAAATCATGGATAGAGGATATCTTTGAGATTGAAAGCCAGCATCTATAGAGCTTGTCAATGATTCTCAGATTTTCACATAAGATAAAGAATATTACAAATGATAGCTATATGAGTGAGAATACTATTGAATTAAAGAACTAAGATTACGGTGTCAGGTATGACTTGCCTGTAGAAATAGGATAGATTATATCTTAACAAACTAAAGATTATATTAAGAATCATTACATCTTAATGATGAGCTCCGTTTTATCACAAAGTCCCAAATAAATTTGTTATATGCAAGCATTCAATATCAATTCCAACCTGAATAAACTTAGAATCATTCGTGATAGAATAAATTTGAACGGCAATGAGTCTAAGCTTAATAATAGCTAAAATTCATTCGATACCATTGGAGGTCATAGCGCTTCAGCTAAAAGTAATACCCATAGAGCCAAGAGAAACTCAAACTTTGTTCCTCTTGTTGATAAGTTAAAAGTAGGAATTTCACAGAGTTACCAATAATAGATTCAAGGTATGTAGTAATAGTAATTTCATCAGTAGCACTCTCCAATTAAATCTTCTCCAGGAGGAAACGCAAGTAGTAATGAAAAATCAACTTCCTAATTCAACCTATAACTAGAAAATACAAGTCTAATATAAAGTGAAAATTTTTAGAGCTTAATGAGTTCGTTCAAGAATCAAATAAAAACTAAATAAGAATAATCATTGCTAAGGGAACCTGAAATAGAAGAACAAAAGTAATCCTAACTTTGAATATATATTTTTAAATTGCTAAACATCTATCAAATTGCTAAAATAATTGTCGACTTGTGATATGCGGGGTTTTGGGGTTTTGGGGTTTTGGGGTTCCCTTAGCAATGATTAT